TAGGGAAGCTCCTGAAATTACTCCCTTAACTTCCTTTTTCCCTGGACATTTTAATCATTATAATGTTTATATCTTCTGAAAGACCAGGATTACAGAAGTAAATCCTTCTTAATCACCAACTCACATTTTTAGATGTTTCTTCTTCTAAGAACTGAAAGACATCAGAAATATAACATCAATTTAGTGGTTAAAATTGGAGAAGAAGGAACATGGCCAAACAGAATGCTTGGAATTTGAAAAGAAAATAGTGTGGTGAGTCCATCACCATTTAGAGCCTTGCTGAAAATTCAACTATTTCTTCAGGAAATGCATGTTTAAAAACAGAATAAAAAACTATTGTTCTTCCCATGTTCTCTTAAATGTCTTCCCCATTGTCCTTCCTTTAATTAGCTATGCACTAATTACCATTCACTATTGTTCTTTTCATGTGTCAGCCAGGTTGCCAGCTCTCTGAAGGCAGCCATGGTACCTCTCCCTGTGCCTTCTCCTCCATGGCTGACACTGTTTCTTGCTATCCCCTGCAGTCAACAATTATGCTCATTTTTACTTCCTCACTCAGAAGCCTTCAGTGACTCTCCACGGTCCCTAAAAGTGGTCCTCAGATATTTTTTGGTTGTATGTGCTTATCAGTAAACCAATGTTTACATAGCCTCTCCCCCCGCTCCCCCCGCCCCCCCCACACACGTAATTGATTTTAAGTTATTTATATGCTATTGCACTTCACTTTTATGTAAATTATAAACATCTACCAAAATACATGGACAAGTATAAGTAGAGTTTCTAATATTTCCTCTCTGTACATCTTGCACAGCCCACTTTGTAGGATCAAATCCAGGTTCTTTTGAATCATAGTCTTCTTGAGCGTACCCAGCAGAGGAGGGTTAAGGAGGTCCGTTTCCAGATTCTGAACCACCCAAGGTCCCTCTCCTGAAAGTGATCTGCCTGGGAATGGCTGGCATTGAACCGATTCCTTCTGTCCAGCCTCCCCTTCCCAATTGCTCTGGCTTTTTACAACAGAAAGACAACCCTCAGCCATCCTCAACTGTGCTTTGTCTCCAAACGAAGGAATGACTTGAGAATGCATTACCCCTGAGAGAGAATCTCTTGAGAGCTTAAGTAAGAAACACTGGCAGGGCAGTGCCTTCTTTCATCCTGGACAAATTCCTGGCAAGTCTCTGCCTTGGACAATGACTATCTTAGAATTAGAAGTCACAAGGGAGGTTGTAGAACTTGTAGTAAGATAGTGCTTTTAATTTAAAAATGAAGCTAAACTTTTTTTCTGATACAAATTAAGTCTAATGTAACTGACCAGTTTGACTATGTAGTCTGGTTTTGCCAATTAAGTCATATTTTCCACAAGTGGAATCGGCTAGATCTGTGGCTCCACATTTTGGATGAAAATATATGCAAAACACCCAATAGACAATATACCTTAAGTGTCATCATTTGTAACTATTTTAGCTTCTGATGACCGTCAGCTAACACTCACAGTATTTATAACCACCCCACTCTTTTCCAGCTCATCTCCTGTCAGTCCTCCTCAGGCTTCCAACCACACCACACTCATGCCCCTGGGCATTCTACCTGTGGGTGTACTTATGCCAGTTCCTCCATGGGAAATACCCTTCCCTCCCATCTCTGTGAATGTGCTGAATTCCTATCTAACACCTGCTTGATCTGTGGCACTAATTAGGCATTGAACATGCAAAATGAACATAATAATAGCCTTGGCCCAATTTTCATAGACTATGAGATTCTAGAATGGGAGACAGACAGATGAGCAGCGACAATATGGTATGACAGAGCTATGATGGGGAACCCTGAGGTGGTTGGGAACTCAGCAGGGGAACCCTGCCTTGGGGGGAGGGTGTCAAGGAAATCTCAGAGGAAGTGACCAAAAAGCCAAGCCCTAATGATACACAGGAGTCAGCCTGACATTTTGCAGGGAGGGGAGAGAAGAGGACTGATCTACGCTGAGAGAACAAAAGTTGAGTTGGATCGGCATTGTTAAAGCAATTCCCCTGTGAAGTCAGGATTTTGACCATAGGAGACACAGTTACCTAATTCTAGGGCCCAGATATAAATTTCTACCAAGTTCAATCTATTTCATGTTTTTGAGAGAATGGTCACATTCTCTCAAAGGCCTAATTTAGAACAGGCTGAAAGTCAAGGGAGAGGTCATCTCCAGAAGAATTTTCCCTCACTATTTGCCAAACACAAAATATCTGAACCCCACCCTCATTGGCTGAAGGAACGGGTAGTCTTTTTATATAGGGTTAACCAGAAATAGTGAATACTCAGTGAATACTCATGGGATGTCTGTGAAGAAACTGACAGGTAGTTTATTTATGTGGCTTGTTCTGAGGGCGGAGTCACCCTCTAAACAAACAAAATGAAACCAGGAGAACCACAAAAGAGAAAACATTCTGTTTCCAGGACTGCGCTGTGCCACACAGAAGAGACGGTGAGGGCTCAAGGCATCCGGTTCTCACTGCTCCACCTCTGGTCCCCGAGCGAGAGGCCTGGAGGCACTTCCCCAAGATGTACAATTCTCCACTTCATGCCACCACTCACATGCTGATTTGTTATCATGCTATTTATTTCTATGAAAGACTTTCCTCTACAAATACATTAACAGAAGAGAAGTGTGACAGATGTGGCATTAGGCATCAAGTATTTCCTGTACTGGTTACAATTCGGTTCCTAATAACTCTTTGTTCATTCAAAATAGAAAATGTACTCAGTGTTCTAGTTCTCTGATACAGTCCACCCATGTACCATCACAATAGATTTTTATTTTATTTCTCATCCTGTTTTCTTCTTCAAGTACCCATATGCAGGTGAACATGATCTCTAGGACGCTATTCACTATGGCAGTAGAATCAGTAGGTCTCACTCATGACAGCTTAGTCACGGAAGCACCAAAGGATGTCCTTATAAACACTGACTATATACGGAAGTCATGTGACATGGACCCCAAGGACTCCATAGCCAGTGAGGTTCCAACAGGCTATATTGTTGGTAAAGCTACTTCATCTCTTTCAGGAAAACCATTAAAAATTCATCCCAGCCCTAACCGCTTTGGCTCAGTGGATAGAGCGTCGGCCTGAGGACTGAAAGGTCCCAGGTTCGATTCTGGCCAAGGGCATATACCTTGGTTGCGGGCACATCCCCAGTAGGAGGTGTGCAAGAGGCAGCTGATCAATGTTTCTCTCTCATCGATGTTTCTAACTGTCTATCCCTCTCTCTTCTTCTCTGTGAAAAATCAATAAAATATATATTTAAAAAAAAAATTCATCCCAGAACACAAAAAGTTATTTTTGTTAAAAAGTTATTATCAAGTTCTGCAGGCTTGGACCCGTGTTGGATAACATTTTTCCATTACAAATGTTTCCTATCAGTGATACCATATTTTTCCAGATGGGTGGGCCAACTGTAATTCTGCTCTACAATTATTATTTCTACCAGTTCCCCAAGCATTTTCTGATTATGGCTTTTATTTCATATATATATATTTTTAATTTTTTTTTTTTTAACACCAAAAGCCAGGGCTTTATTTTGAGAGTTGGCTGTAAGCATCTAGTAGCACACCTCTGGGTAAGGGCGACAAGTGTCTCACCTTTTCGGCGATACACATTTGATATCAGTACACTGTGGAGGCTAAATCTAGATAGCAAAAGCACAATACAAAGAACAAATGATTGGCATCCTTTCAACCCTCAGCAGAATCCCAGACATCTTGTTTTGCTGCTGGCCCCACTCGCCATGCAGTCTGTGGCTACATGGAGGAATGTGGAGGGACACATGATGCCTGACCAAGTGGGGCTGGTATCGTGGCTTGAGATGGGTTTGGCTTGGACACTATTCCTCCTCCCAGCCCACTCGATTGGCAGAGGGCCTGAACTGGGTGCAGCTCTTAGTTTAGGCAGCTGGCAACAGAGAGGGCCGGAGCAAATTCTGCCCACCAGTGCTGCTCATGAACTCTTCTGGTGTCCTCCTCAGGTTCTAAGAATTCAGTGAAAGTGAAGGACCCTAGAAACATGCACATTCATGTAATAAGATGGAGAATATATGCTGCAAACACAAGGAGGGAAGGCAGCCAAATTGGAAAACAATGTTAGTATGTACAGGAGAAAAGTGATTCCTTTCTTTCTTTTTTTAAAAAAATTATTTTTATTGACAGAGAGGAAGGGAGAGGGAGAGATAGAAACATCAATGATGAGAGAGAATCATTGATTGGCTGCCTCGTGCACGCCCCACACTAGGGATCGAGCCCGCAACCTGGGCATGTGCCCTTGACTGGAATTGAACCTGGGACCCTTGAGTCCCAGGGACCCTTGGCTTGAGTCCACAAGCCAATGCTCTATCCACTGAGCCAAAACAGCTAGGGCCCTTTCTTTCCTTTTTCCAGTTTTATTGAGAGATAATTGACAAACAGCACTGTATACTAGTAAGTTTAAGGTGTAGGGCATAATGATCTGACTTACATGTATTATGAAATGATCTGATTATGGCCTTTAAAAAGTTTGCAACAATGGTGAAGATAGGTTTGTATTGATGTATATAAATGTGCTTGCAAATGGGTTTAGATCAGCGGTTCTCAACCTGTGGGTCGTGACCCCTTTGGGCGTCGAATGACCCTTTCACAGGGTCGCCTAAGACCATTGGAAAACACATATATAATTACATATTGTTTTTGTGATTAATCACTATGCTTTAATTATGTTCAATTTGTAACAATGAAATTGGGTGTCACCACAACATGAGGAACTGTATTAAAGGGTTGCAGCATTAGGAAGGTTGAGAACCACTGGTTTAGGCCCTTATGTGGAAAGGGTCTGAAGTCTCCTAAATAGAAAATCTTCATAAAGTAAATCAGAACGGACTTAAGAGCTTGGAAAATGGGGGGGCGGGGAATGGCTGGGGGGCGGGGGGATCAATCGGGGGAAAAAGGAGACACATGTAAAACTTTAGACAAAAAAAAAAAGTTTGGAAAATGGTAGCAGGGCTTAGTGACTTTATAACAAACACGGCCAAGGCCACATTTTAGCACCTCCCTGCTCCCAGATTAACTTTATTTCTGTCACCCTCTTCACTTTTAAAATTCCTTCCATTCAGCAAACTCAGTTCCATTCAGGGCAACAAACACCTTGTAACGTCTGTTGCTGATACTTCTCTGTGTACAGTGGTGGAAAACACAGCTTTCGTTTTCAGTCCTGCTGCTGTAATGAGATGAATTACGCCTCCTCCAAAGCCCCAGGTTTTCCTGAAAAACATGCCACTTCATTTATGCCCGGGGGCTTCTCAGAACTGAGATCGTTTTCTTGCAGAGGGACAATTTAGTCTCATTTTTGGTAAGTTGACTACATGTAAATGCTACCTTGGTGCCAGCCTTTCCCGGGCAAACGCTGGGCCTTCACCTGCAGCGCGATCTCTCCGCCCCGGGCAGGGCCTTGCAGCGTCGCGGAGCGTCCAGCAGATGGCGCCGCAGATGAATTTTCGGCGTTGCTCTCTAAGCCTGCAGGAGTCTGGAATAAACAGGAAGGAGTTTTTTTTTTAAGCATTCGAATTTTCAGCATATATTTCTCTCTCTCTCTCTCTTTCTCTCTCTCTCTCTCTCAGATATCAGAGGATATCTCTATTTTACTCAGTTGAAATTCATTTGAGTTGTTTAAAAACTCAGTGATTACGCAATCCCAAATATGTGTTTTTAAGGATTTCCACTCTTTCAAAGGACCCAACAAGCAGTTCATCACGTATCATAAGTTTCCTTAAGGGCACAGGGGTTCAGAAATGTTAGCAGGCAGCGCAGGCTGCCTCTGAAAAGACCAACAAGGCGCGGCGGAGGCGGAAGTGACCTTGGTGGCGGGCAGGGCGGCGGCCGCGGAGCCCCGAGCACAGCGCCGCCTGCTGGTGCAAAAGGGGAGCCAAAGCCTGTGGCCTCGCTCCCGGGGCGCCGAGACCCGCAAGCTTCCAAACATGGTTGCACTCAGGGCGCAGCACGTAATGCCTCCACCAAACAAAACTGCAAGTCGTGGGTACAACCAGAGCAGCCTTTGTGTTGAGAAGAGAAACCTAGAGGCCCAAAATGGTTTTGATATACAATATTTAAGAGGGTTTGACTGTTTTTAATGCTTCCTAAAGCTTAAACATAGTGGATTTGATTTTTGTGGTATAATTGTTAGGACGATTCTAAAGGAGAGTGAAAAATAGAACCTGGTAGGGCCTCTCTTTCATTTATCTTATCCTGCTTTAAATTATTTACAAAATGTTAAAAGAGGTTATCAGAAGCAAATGGGGGACGGGGTGGGGGTGGGGGATGGGCAGGGGTTGAGTTTCAAAGGTGGCTGTGCTTATTTCTCACTGTGGCCCCTCATTTTTATTCCGGGATTGTTGCAGTGCCATTTTAGAGTCCCTCCTCCTCTCCCCACTTCCTTCTCCTCTTCACTCATTTGACAGGAGCCTCTGCAACCATCTGCTTAGAACACGTCATCGTCATCCACTGGGAGAGAATTGTGGTACCACCTTTCTCCCCCTATGGCTGAAGCACACAGAAAGATGAATTGCACTTCTGCTGCCGAGCCAGTGTGATTGCTGGGAATTGTGACCTGCAAGATGATGCCAACGTGCAGCTTCCGGCTTTTAACTGCATAGAGCTTTATGCTGCCCTTCATTAAGCTGATGTGTTCGCTTCTAGAGCCCTGTCCTTCAGGTTGCCCAAATGATGTGCTAATAACCTTTTGTCCCTTCCATTTACAGAGACTGCATTAAGCGTAAGAATTGTACACTTCTGCTTTCTTCTAGGCAGAGAATGAAGACCCATTTTGTAGGAGGCCACCTGCAAAAAAGTGATAGGGGCCTGGATTCAACCACAAAACCAGAACAGCAGCATACCGTTTCTCCCCCTCCCAATAAAAACACAGGTCTAGGAATGCTTTCCATTGGAGACAAGATGCAGTCAGGCTAAGGGAGAGTCCCTAAAACTGCGCTTGCACAGTAGCTCTTAGGACTATCCTGATGGTGACTTTTGCTCTTTATAATAGGAAAAAACACACCCCTGTGTGGAGATTTAGGAGGCTAAGGAGACATGTGTAGTATGTCAAAGCATGTAGCCCTACAGCACTTTCTCCAGCCGATGCCAGCCCTCCAAAAGAGAGACCTGAAAGATCAACCCGGAAAGGGACTCGCCCAGTGCAGATTCGGCAGAGGTGCGGGGAGCCACATCCACTTTCTGTGTGCGCTCTTGATGCATCGAGCTTTGGTCTCGTCCCTCTAAAATTTAAGAAATCTTTTCTGTTCGTCCCCTCCCATGATTTCTATCTAGGGCAGTGGTCGGCAAACTGTGGCTCGCAAGCCACATGCGGCTCTTTGGCCCCTTGAGTGTGGCTCTTCCCAAGCCTTAGGAGTATCCTAATTAAGTTAATAACAATGTGCCTACCTATATAGTTTAAGTTTAAAAAATTTGGCTCTCAAAAGAAATTTTAATCGTTGTATTGTGGATATTTGGCTCTGCTGACTAATGAGTTTGCCAACCACTGATCTAGGGGAAAACAAGAACCTACCCTTCAGTTGGTAAATATTTGGACTAGTCCTATTGTTTATCAGATCTCTGTTCTCTGACATGAAAATTCCCATCTCCCATCAGGGCATAGCTATAGGTATAAATTATAGGCATTGGTTCAAAACAGAGCCCTCTCTTTCATCCAGTAGCATCAGAAACACCATAATTAAGAATGTAACTGGAACAGAAATCTTCTTGGGGGTCCAGGAGAAGAAAGGTTGGGCTCCCAAGTCCTGTGCATGACCACATGGGCTGTAGTCTTCACAATCTGAGTCCAAGCGGATGAGACCACAAGAGAGCTCAGTGTTCCGAGGACGAAGAGGAATGGATATATAGTAACTTAGTGAATCAGAGTGTTAAACAAAAATTTTAACTGGCACGGCTAAAAATCTTTTTAGAAAGATTTTATTAGGTCATTGCCAGCAAAAAAGAAGACGACTGGTCTTAGGGCATGGAGTCTAAACCACCTGCAGCCTGGCTAGGTAGAAAAGACAGTATGTCCATCGTTCCGGAGTTTTGCAAGTGCTTTTATACATCAGGGATGGGGAGAAAGATGTGAGCCGTTCTGAAAGGATTTACATTAGCTATAGACACAGGGGATGGGAGAAGGTGAAGTGGGGCGCGTTCTAAGGCAGGTGCGGCAGAGTCTCAGGAAGAGGTGTCGGCCTGTGGATTCGCTGTGGGCTGCAGATTGGAAAGTCCATGTGTAAGTGAGAAGCGGAGGCTTTTGGGGTTCAATGGCACCTGGCTGTTCTCTCTTTTGGATAAACTCTGAAATAGCCAACTAGAAATTAATCCTAAATGTCAGCAGGTATACAGGAAATGGGAGCAGTATTTTGTCAGAGCTGGACCACAGCTATGACCAGACTAAATGTCATGTCTCTTTCTCTCACCCTCAGCCATGTAGTTCGCATTTAGAACATCTCTGAATTTTTTTTGTTGTCCAGGGACAAGACCCAAGACGATGTCTGATGTGTTTATTCGCAGAGAAACTGAAGCGAAGGAGAGGAATGCCTCCCGAAGTGTTACTGTGTTATAAAAGTGTCCTTGGGGGAGAGGATGCGTGAGCAGGACAGCTGATCGCATTAAGAGTGTGCAGGCAGGCACACATCTGCCCACAGCCCCAGGACTGCTGAACCCAGGGTTACTAAGCTAATCCGCAGGACCCGGCCCTAAGCCTCTCTGCGGCAGTCCTGAGGGAGTCAGTCGGCTCAGACAAAGCGAAGAGGCTTCTCCAAGGGGGAGGGGTGCCCGCTTTCTCTTTGTTCTTCCTTGGAAAGCTGGCTCTCTCTCAAGTTTCATAAACCAGCTGCTTTCCCCTCATGCAGGAGGGCAAAATAAATTCATTGCCAGTAATGATTTGAAAAGCGTATTTTTGGAGCCCTGAGCTCTGCTAGTAAAAAGCAGGGTCAAACTACTAGTATAAAATGCGCTCACACGGTGAACATGTTTATTCTGGGTTTCAAGGCAAAAATTTCAGAAAGGTGCATCTCTTTGTCAAATAAAATTAAAAATTAAAAGATCACTTCCCGGGGCTACGCCTGTCTGAGTGTCACTTAAAAAATAAATAAATAAATAAATAAATAAATAAATAAATAAATAACTCATCTTCAGAAAGGGTGGTTTTGAATCCCAGTTAACCTAATAATTACAGGCCCTGCACCTTACATTTAAGAGTCTAGTCTTCACAGAGGTAGGGTTTAATGAGCGAATTCTTTTGTCTGCTAAGAAACCCCTTCAGCAGTATAAGGGCTCCCTGAAAATTACATCTTTTCACACTTATTTTTTTTCTTATAAGAATGATTTAACATAGCTCCTTTAAAACTAAAAACATTCAGAATTGTCTATCCCTAATTTAAGTGTTGAATTAAGACAAAGGATGCTTGTTCCTGAATAAGCATGCCACTCTCCGAGCACTCAGAGCATCTGCTGCTGCCTGGGCTGATTAAACATTTATTTTTAAAATTTATTGATTTGAGAGAGAGAAAGAGAGAGAGAGTGAGTTTTTTGTTGCTGTTGTTCCACTTATTTATGCATTCACTGGTTGGTTCTTGTATGAGCCCTGGCAGGGGATCGAACCCACAGTTTTGGTGTATTGGGACGAAACTGTAACTAACCAAACTACCGGACCAGACCCCTGGACTGATTTTAAAACAAAAGCCACATGTGGCTTCTACACTGACAGTTGAGATGGCCTGTTATGTCCAGTAGGGCCTGCTGGACTTGGTTTACACACACCACAGAAAATGGGCTCCGTGGGTCAGAGAAAGATTACTGGGCTGAGACAGGCTGACATTTTGGAAATACTGTAGGTTTATTTCCTGGGGATTTACACACACACACCCTCAAAACAGGTACTTTCAGTCCCTTCACATGGCATCCTCAGGCTCCTTAATACAGTTCCTATTCTTTGGGGATTTTAATCCGCTCACTAAACATCAGCTATTTTTTCTGGAATATATCTGCACATTTCTACTCAACTGAGCCTTGGGGCGTGTGGCTCAGAGCAGCTGCATTGCCAGCCCTCTCAGGAGGAAGTGAGAGCAGCCCAGGCAGGAAACCAGCCCCGTGTCAGCCTGTGATCTAATGGCTCAAGCTCTGTAGATGAGACCCAGGTCAGCTTCCAAAATAATCCTGAAGCTAGATAAGGAACAAATAAGCAGGTATTAAAGGTATATATGCATACATCTTTGTAATTAACAGAAAAATTTGATAAAATAGCCACTGGGCATGTATAGCCATAACTCTACCCTGTGTTTATGTTATTAACTGTTATCCAGAGAGCGTATTACAGAATGCCTTCACTTGGCAGGTTCAAAGTTCTTCCCAGTGTTCACCTTGCACATTAAGGCACTTCATCTTAACAACAGCCAGCACTTCCTTTATGTTTGCCACAGGACCCAGGGGGTATTAGACATGTAGTAGGCACTCCGGGAATACGTGCTTTAAAAAAAAAAAAGAAATAATGGAAAAAGGAACAATGAATGGCTGCATTTTAATCCTGAGATTATTGTCACATCTGAGGAAACTGGATAATGATACTTTATAGACGGAAAACAGAAGTGAGGATATTGCACCTTCTCTGACTTATAGTGATGGCTGCTGACTTTCCTAGAGACCAGGAACTTCACATGCATATCTCCTTTAAACCTCACCATATCTCTAGAGGCTAAGTTTACTATGATTGCCACCCTTACTTTACATACGACAAAACATTACTCAAGTCACACAACTCATAAATAGCCACATCAGGACTTGAATCCAGAGACCTGTCAGTTTCCAAAGGAACATTCCTGCTCCTGAATATCTAATAGCAACATTCAGAGTTCCAGGTACTAACTACCCTTCTTTGAGGAATTGCCTGACAACAGAATATCTGAAGAGGGAAGGAGAGAGAGGGAAAGAGCAAGCAAAACCAATTCATAACTTACACATCTCAGTATGTGTGGTTTTGATGGTTTCTCCTATGCATTCTCATTTCATCCTCACAGCACCCTGTCAAATGTGTTATTACTATTTCTTTTTTTTAAAGTTTGCTCTGAAAGCAGTAGAACTTTTTTCCCCTCTCTTTTTATATTTTTATTGATTTCAGAGAGGAAGGAAGAGAGACAGAGAGATGGAAACATCAATGATGAGAGAGAATCACCGATTGGCTGCCTCCCCCACATCACACACCGGGGATCAACCCAGAAACCCAGGCATGTGCCCTGACTGGGAATCGAACCATGACCTCCTGGTTCATAGCTCAACGCTCAACCACTTAGCCTGCCAGCCGGGCACTATTTCTTACATATAAGAAATATATCTCTGGAGAACAGGTGGGCTCAAGAAGAAGTGAATGCTAAAATTCTGCACCTGAGAGGTAACAAATCTGTGGTAACACTGTGCCTGCCCTAGGCCTCCCAGCTCAGCTCAGATCGCTTTTTACATTTTCTTTCTTCCTTTTTTTTATAAATATATTTTATTGATTTTTTACAGAGAGGAAGGGAGAGGGATAGAGAGTTAGAAACATCAATGAGAGAGAAACATCAATGAGCTGCCTCCTGTACACTCCCTACTGGGGATGTGCCCGCAACCAAGGTACATGCCCTTGACCGGAATCGAACCTGGGACTCTTCAGTCCGCAGGCCGACGCTCTATCCACTGAGCTAAACTGGTTAGGGCTTCTTCCTTTCTTATTAACACTCCCATGGGCCATAAAGCTTACCCCACAAAAACAAATATGGTTAAATGTTGACTTGCTGTGTCACTAAGGCATTAAAATTGGATGCAATGTAGAGAGGAAACAGTAAAGGTGACAGTGCATAAAATGCTATATAACAATTAAAAACAATGAATTAGATTTAAACATACTGCCATGAAAAGATCTTCAGCAGGCATATTAAGTTAAAAAATATAAAAAGCAAGTTACAGGTAAAAAGTACAGCATGGTACCATTTATGTTTTCAAAAGTCATACACACAAAAAATGATACAAACACATAGGAAACAAGTTTGTTATACTCCAAATAACTGGTTTCTTCGGGGAGAGGACTGGGTCCAAGAGGAGGTGCATTGCATTGTCAGACTTTCCTTTACCTTTGTACAAAATAATTTATTCAAATATGTGTGTGTAAAAGGGGAGGGGAGAGGGGGAAAAGGACAGAAAAGAAACCAGTGCTGCTGTTAGAAAATAAAAGTTTAACAACACGCAGTAAAGGTAAGTGGTACACATACACCAAACTAAAATCCACGGCCTCACTCAGGTCCACAAAAGATCAATTATAATAAATGGGATGATTTTAAAAATGTGATATCTCCTGACTCTGCCAGAAATGCAGTGCTGAGAAGACTTGGAGCCAGATGGTTGGGTTCAAGGCCTGACTCTGCAATTCTCTGTAACCTTGGGCTAATTTTTCAGGGCCTTACTTTCCTTTATCTATGGAGTGAAGATACTAGTAACATACTTCATAGGGTTCTTCCAGGATTAAATGAGATAACGCACTGGAAAGAATAACAAATTATGCCAACTGAGACTTATAGCTTCTAAATTGCACTTGTGTTTATTCTTCCCCATTCTTTCTCTCCCACTTCAGAAAAGCATTTTTCTCACACCTTTAAGTGCCCCACACTGAGGCAAAATTAAATTAGCAAAACATTAATCTTTGGCATATTTGCTGATAACAAATAGGCCCTTGTTATTTGAGTCTTTAGATTACGCACAGAGTTTCTAAGCTTCAATAACCTGTATTCAGGTATTTATTTTAAGGAATATATTTATTTGATTCCATTTATAAAATATACCCTTTTCCTGTGAAACCCACTTTTCACCCAAGAACCAAAATATCCAAATTACGTAGGCCATTTAAAGCATAAGCTGAAAATATAATTTAATTTTTTGCATCTTAAAATGGGCTTATTTGCAGTCTTACTGAAATTTCAGGCTGCTCTTAAATTTCAAGAATTCAATTATAAGCTTTTTAATAAAAAGGGTTACAAAAATAATGAGAAACATTAATACCACCCATATAATTAAACACAAAAAAAGAAACATGAGCAAATGAATAAATATCAGTTGCATGCACACAGCCATGTCCACACTACATGATGCAAGTATTTTCAGCTACAGCCTCACCTTTGAAACAGCCATGTTCTCGTCTGCTTTTGCTGGATATGCATATGTTAAAAAGCTTGGGGACCTGAAGATTCCTGGTCAAGTAAATTAAGAATCCAGTGTAAGTTGCTTTGCAGTTTGAGTTCAGCAAGGATACATCTGAAGGGACCAGTTCCAAGCACACAAAGCACACAGCCCTCCCCAGCGCCTCCACCCCATTAAACTGAGCTGTCATTTTAGAGCTGGGCACCCATTGTTCACTTTCTTCTACTCTAATTAGACTTGACAGATTGCTCTTTCTAGCTAGACTGGCTGTTGCCAAGAACAGAGAGAAGAGATGAGGCTGACCTTGTCATTATGCTCTTGGGATCGGCGCCCCCACCCCCCATCCTAGTCCACAGACACTGTATCCCCAGCAGCTCAAATCTGTTCTCCTTCTGCTCCTCCAGCCTCGGCCTGCTATGCCCCCGCAGTCTCAGCACCACTGACTTTTCTTTCTTTCAGTACTGTGAGACTCAAACCCTCAGAGGCTGTGGAAGTGGACTGTGTGCTCTAATGTTTTTCATGTTAGTACTCTGACCCTTGTATTTTCCTGCAGCCCTGGGGGACAAAGCAGACCAGCTTTCCTAAAGAGAAAGATACTGCAGCTCGGCCTGGAGCCAAGAAATATGGATTGCTCATGAAGCAGCTTGGGAAGGATTCAGGCCCTGCACTGCCTCCACATGACAGAAACAAATCCCTTGCCCCATTCCCCTCAGTTTCCACATCTGTAAAATGCCACCAATAATTCTCGAGCCTTCATCATATCAAACACATGTTACGATGGTATTATATAAGAATTAGATAACAAAATGATAGAGCTGGAAATGATCTTAGAGATCATTTAGTCCAATGTCTTCATTTGGAAGATTAGAAAAACACAGGCCAAGAGAGGTAGGTGACATGCACAGTGTCATGAAATTAGTTCACAGACTTTAAACACCTGGCAGTGTACAATAGTCTGCTAATCAGCTTTGTCACTAACCTGCCTTTCCCCAATTTATGCTATGCTTGATAATAAATCGTATTAACCAAGAAAGCAACTTTCTTTGAGGAAAGAATTCTCCTCACGCAAGGACTGTTTTCAGAAATGTTTCCCTTTACTGAGACGCCAATGGTCTTGTAATAGAACCTGAGTCACCCAAAGCCACATGACTCTCCTAGGGGCACAGGACGGAACTCAACAGGCTGGAGGTCTGGGGCTCTGCTTCCAATTAAGAATGGCCCTGACCTTGACCTAAGTCTGACTGTGCCCACCGCTTCAAGAGCTGTTAGCAGGAGAGACTTTTAGGAATTTCTTCTGGGAACAGATCTACTGTTTCTGAGGTTGCAATGCAAAACCATTTATTAATTCACCTACTCGTAAACATTTATTAAAAGCTCATTTTTTTCCTATGCACCTGGGGGCTGATAAGACTAATACAATGAGTAGGACCCAGCTTCCAGGAGCCTCGGGAGGAGCCAGCAGTGCAAATATTTATGTCCAAGGGGCACTGTGGGGGTCAGGATGGAAGGAGGAGATGGTCAATTTTCCTTCATTGGGGTTTAAGGAATCAGAGAAATGTTGTAGTGGAGATGATACTTGAGCTGAGCTTTGGGAAATAAAGGTTATTGTCTAGGTGGAAGTGAGGCAAATACATGGTATTCAGACAGAGAGTGAGCTTGGTATGGGTTTTTTTTAGTGTGTGTGGCTTTTTTTGGCGGGGGGGGGGGGGGGGTGGGGGGTGAGGGGGGGGATGGCTTTTGGCCTGCATAGTATGAGGAAGCATCACCAAAGGTGAGACTGGAAATTTAGGTAGTGATCAGTGAAAACATTATATGAAAATGGAAGAAGTTTGAATTTTGTTGTGGCAGTTCATGGGAACCACTGAAAGAGTTTCAAGCAGGAAAATAACATGATCCAAAATGCATTTTAGAAAGATGACTTTGATGGTGTGGAAGACAGATTGGGGAAGTGGTGGAAAGGAGCAAGACCAAAGGCAAACAGACTGTAGGAGACAACTGCAAAAATTTAGGTGAGATAAGACAGCTGACCCAATCTCTCCAACAAGTCAATGGGAAGGATCAAAGGGAGAGACTATTTTGGTATCCAAGAGGCTTCCACTATATGCAGTATGTGGACCTTGTTTGGATCCTGATTCAAACCAACTGTAAAGAGAAAAGTTGAAAGACAAAGTATTAGGTAATATTAAGGCACAATCATTAATTTTGTTAGTGTGATAACATTACTATCCTATATAATAAAAGCCCAGTGACCATAATGACTGGAACAATTGCTCAACCAGTTGCTATGAGGTGCATTGACCACCTCTTGGTCCCTCCCCTCTCCACTGCCTGCAGGCTCCAATCGCAGCTTGGTGAACAGGGAACCACGGGGAACCGGGTGGGTGGTGGGGCAGGGCGGGACTGGGGACTGGCGAACAGGCAGAAGATGGCCCTGATCGCAGCCTAGGCCTAGGGACCCTACATGCGCACGATTTCATGCGCTGGGCCTCTAGTGGTAATATAAAATAGCATACTAAAGTGTTTATGAGTGAGATGTCATGATATCTGGATATTTCAGTAGAACTAATAGATGAAATAAATACAGCAAACAGTTAATAATTATTAAATCCAGATGATGGAAATGTAAGCGTTCATTGCACTCTATGTATATTTGCAAATTTTCAATATAAAAAGCTAACATTTTAGACAAAGAATAATGCGAACCTAAATTACATAAGTTATAGTGAGCCCAGCCGGTGTGGTCAATGGTTGAGTGTGGACCTATGAATCAGGAGGTCACGGTTCAATTTCCTAATGTGGGGCGTGCATGAGGCAGCCAATCAATGATTCCCTCTCATAATTAATGTTTCTATCTCTCTCCCTCTCCCTTCCTCTGTGAAATCAATATATATATACACTAGAGGCCCGGTGCACAAAAATTTGTGCACTCGGGGGGGGGGGGGGGGGTGTCCCTCAGCCCGGCCTGTGCCCTCTCGCAGTCTGGGACCCCTCAGGAGATAATGACCTGCTGGCTTAGGCCTGCTCCTGGATGGCAGAGGGCAGGCCTAATCCCTAGGTGCAGCCCCTGGTCGGGCTCAGAGCAGGGCCGATTGGGGAATTGGGCGCCGTCCCCTGTCATGCACAGAGCAGGGCGGATTGGGAGGTTGCGATGCCACCCTCAGTCACGTTCAGGGTAGGGCCGATTGGGGGGTTGGGGCACCGCCCCCTGTCACACTCACGGCAGGGTCAATGGGGAGGTTGCGGCGCCACCCCGTCACGCACAGAGCAGGGCCAATCAGGGGATTGGGGTGCTGCCCCCGTCACGCACAGAGCAGGGTCAATCAGGGGGTTGGGGAGCTCCCCTCTGTCATGCACAGAGCAGGGCCCATCAGGGGGTTGGGGAGCTCCCCCCTGTCATGCACAGAGTAGGGCGGATCAGGGGGTTGGGGCGCTGCCCTCTATCACCCACAGAGCAGGGCCAATCAGGGGGTTGGGGTGCCGCCACTGTCACACTCAGGGCAGGCCGATGGGGAGGTTATGGCTCTACCCCGTCACACACAGAGCAGGGCCCGTGGGGGGGGGGGGGTGGTTGGGGCGCCGCACCCTGTCACACACAGAGCCGCAGAGCGATCAGGAGGTTGGGGAGCTCCCCCCTATCAGGCACAGAGCAGGGCTGATTAGGGGGTTGGGGCGCCTTCCCCTGTCAGGAACAGAGCAGGGCTGATAGGGAGGTTGTGGCCCCGCCCCTGTCACACACAGAGCTGCAGGGCGATCAGGGGGTTTGGGCGCTGCCCCCTGTCATGCTGATCCCGGTGCCAGGAGACCTCGCGGCTCTGCTGCTCCCAGTGCTGGGAGGCATATTACCCTTTTACTATATAGAATAGAGGTCTGGTGCATGGGTGGGGGCTGGCTGGTTTGTGCTGAAGGGTGTCCCGGATCAGGGTGGGGGTCCCCACTGGGGTGCCTGGCCAGCCTGGATGAGGGGATGATGGCTGTTTGTAGCTGGTCACACACCCTTCAGGGTGGGGGGTCCCCACTGGGGTGCCTGGCCAGTCTGGGTGAGGGGCTGAGGGCTGTTTTCAGGCTGGCAGGTGACTGAAGCTCCCAACTGCTCCTTTTTTTCTTTTTATTTTTTTTATTCTGAGCCAGCTTTAGCTCTGAGGCTCCAGCTCTTAGGCCTCCGCTCCTGAAAACAGGTATCTGGTTTGTTTAGGTTCTACAATCGAAACTCTGTATCAACTCCAGGTCTGAGATCCCAGCTAGCTGAAAGCTGGTTTCTGGGGTTTTGTTTAGCTTCTATTTTTGTAACTATGCTTCAAACTGCTCAGAGGCCGGCAAGGCAGGTGGGGAACGTTGGAGTCCTCCGTCACTGAAGCAAGTCTCATGTTAGTTTCAAGCTGCCTGGCTGCTGTCCGCCATCTTGGCTGGCAGTTAATTTGCATATCTCCCTGATTAGCCAATGGGAAGGGTAGCAGTCGTACGCCAATTACCATGTTTCTCTTTTATTAGATAGGATATATATATATATATGTATATATATATTAGTGAATATGGAGAGGAGGACAGAGCTGAGATAGCAAAAAAAAAAAGGCAGAATTAACAATACTCAGTGAGTGGTTAAAAGTGGTCACTGAAGTTGAAGAGAAAGTGATGTCCAGGTTTTTGCTTGGGTGCCTGGGTAGATGGAAACTAGTCTATTCTTTTAGCATGTGGAATTGGAGTTTCAGTGAAACACTGCGTTACTACTGTCCCACCAGACATGAAAATGTAAAGCTCAGGAGAGAGCCTGCGGCTGGTAGTGTGGATTTGTGAGCTGTCAGTTCACCAGCATATAAGTGGGGATTCAAACCATTGCAAGAGCATTGAAGGTGAGAAAGGGAAGATAGCCGGGAGAGAAGCCAAAGGCATACTTACATTTAAGAAGTGGGGGAGAGGAAGAAATTGAAAAGACTGAGAAGAATGGCCAAAGGGATATGAGGAGAAACAGGAAAAAATAATTTCTGGTGAATCTGTCAAGAAACAGTGAGTCAACAGAATCAAATGCCCCAAATTAAAATATGAAACCCAGTGGATTTAGCATCTGAGCGACAATTACCAAAGAACTTTCAGGAGAGTGTGATGTGCAGAAAGTGAATGAGAGAAGAGTAAGTGAAGCCTGGAAGATGGGGGATGGCTGGATTGCATGGTCCTCACAGGAACAGGGAGTTGGCAGGGAGGCGGCTATGAAATGGTTGGCAAATGGGCAAGCTCTGGGTGCAATGGGATGACCAAGAGCCTCTGCTCAAAGGGGGCT